CTTGCTCAATTATATATAAGGGAGAGATTATAAAGCACGCAAAATGGAAACGCTGCACATGTTGAGTTTCCATGATTATCAAATCAGTTATATAATTCCATTATATTTAGGGATCTATAGGGGAAGATGGGGGGGGGAATGAAAAAACAATACAAGCATGAGGTGAGAAAACCTACCCACCAAAAGGGAGGGAGGGAACTTCACAGATGGGTACTTGCATAGAGAAGGCTACATGAAACCTCGCTGCCAGTTTTTCCCTAATGTTATAAGGTTGCTATAGTATAAAGGTAAAGATAAAGGTTCCCTTGCTCGAAAGCCAGTTGAATCCGACTCTAGGGTTGCGGTGCTCATCTCCATTTCAAAGCTGAAGAGCCAGCACCGTCTGAAGATGTTTCCGTGGTCATGTGGCCGGCATGACTAAACACCAAGGCGCACGGAACGCTGTTACCTTCCCACCGAAGTGGTACCTATTTATCTACTTGCAATTTCTTGCTTTCGAACTGCTAGGTTGGCAGGAGCTGGAACTAGAGACGGGACCTCACTACGTCATGCGGCACACTCGGGTCTCGAACTGCTGAACTACCGACCTTCCACAGCCTGCAGTTCAGCGTCTTAACCACTTGAGCCACCGCAGCTCCTTGCTATAGTATAATGAACAAAATAAAATGTGTCATAATGCAGTTGTAAGGAGCAGACCAGCCAGGCCCTGCTAACAAAGGGGGGAGGCAAGAGAAAAGCTGGAGCCCGGGCTGGCGGGCAAGAGTTGAACTTTGGAAGAAGAAAGAGGGAAAGCGGCCAAGAGGAGGGAGGAGAGAATCAGCCCGGGAAGGAGAGACGCCACGCCGGCAGAGTTCAGAGAGGAGCAGAGGAGACTGCAACCAGCCTCTCTCCAACGTCAGAGCAGAGGACAGACTACTAAGCAGCCAGGAGGGGTGTGGCCCACCCAGGAAAGCCAACGTGGACACCCAGTTGACGGGAGTGAAGGAACTCCAGAAGAGCCTCCCTGTAGACTTCCCAGGACTCAGGTCAGACTTGAGGGGGGAAAGGCTCACCCAAGGCAGCAGGATTCACTCTGGGGGAACAGAGACAGGAGTGGTCAGTGTAAAGGGGTCGGGTGAGGGAGCACTGGAGGTAGGAAATAAAACAAGAGCCACGTGGCTGGTGATGACCCTCATAGCTGGATGCTGTAATTTACTATTATTTTAAAAATTTATTTTTAAATCTATACCCCGTCCTCCCCGGATGGGCTCAGGACGGCTAACAAATGAGGCACATATGCCAAGATTAAACAGGTAAAAATAGGATAAAACAAGCAATAAAACAATCATCCATATAAAAAATACAAGTGCTCTAGATGTCACAAATAACTGATGGGGTCACACATGACAAAGTGGTCCCAGAGCGACACAGTAGACTCCAGGTGAAACAGCGATCCGTCCTTCCTCCCAGGGCCGTCTCATTCCCCGATGACACCCACTCCATTTAGTGGTGGTACGGTGATGGTATAGTGATGGTGGCGGCTTCTACTCAAAAGCCTGGCGGAAGAGCTCCGTCTTGCAGGCCCTGCGGAACTGCGCCAGGTCTCGCAGGGCCCGGATCTCCTCCGGGAGCTCATTCCACCAGGTAGGAGCCGCCACTGAAAACGCTCTGGCCCTGGTAACAGCAAATTTAATATCTTTGGGACCCTGGGTTACCAGTCGATATTGAGTCCCCGACCGTAGTGCCCTTGGGGGAACATATAGGGTAAGGCAGTCCTTCAGGTATGCCGGACCCTGGCCATATAGGGCTTTAAAGGTAAGAACCAGCACTTTGATGCAAACCCGGTACGCTATTGGCAGCCAGTGCAGCGCTTTCAGGACAGGCCTGATATGGTCCCGCCTAGTGAGACCCATCAGCAGCCTGGCCGCAGCATACTGCACTAGCTGCAGCTTCCGGATTTGCGACAAAGGCAGCCCCATGTAGAGAGCGTTACAGTAGTCTAGCCTCGAGGTGACCGTCGCATGGATCACTGTGGCCAGGTCATCACGGTCAAGGAAGGGGACCCACTGCCAAGCCAAATGAAGATGGTAAAAGGCCGACTTGGTAGTGGCTGCCACCTGGGCCTCCATCGTTAAAGAGGAGTCCGGGAGCACTCCCAAACTCCTAACCTCCGACCCTGGCACCAAAGGCGCCCCATCGAAGGTCGGGAGAGGGAGCCCCAACCCCTCCTGCAATGACTTCCTGCAGCACCTCTAGGGCTGAAGCCACTCATCTCTTACAGCAATCAACATTAAACTTTAAAAAATGAGTGATGGATCACTCGGGGGACAACCTGAGGGAGGGCAGGAGGGCGGGGAGTGGGGTGAACTAGGGGTGCCTGGTCCTTTCTTTTCGTCGGCAGGGGGCTTTGGGGGGTGTTCCAATAGGGGCTGGAGATGTACTTGATGTGATGACATCAGGCATACGTGACATCATTACATTGGGGACATAGCCCTTCGCAAGGCACTGATGGTGCCCGCTCACCAAAAAAAATATTAAAATTAAAGGGACCCTTCCCTTTAAATGGTTTTTGCAAGTGGGGGTTGGCTGTCCTCACCTGAACTCCAAGCAGCGAAACCACTTCAAGGGAAGGTTTGGATGATTATTTGTGAGGGGGCTTGGCTGGGCACCACACATGCCTGAATTCCAAGCAGCGAATCTGTGCTCCCACCAGTCGGCTGGAGGGAGATGGGCGGCTACTGGTGGTCGTTGCAGGTAGTGCTGCAGGTAGTGTTTGTGTGGGGATGGGGGGTATCCGCTAGATCCACTCTTTGGAAGGCAGAATTTTCAAGCAGTGCCATAGCAGAGAACAGAAATGCTAAAAGAGAACTAAAAATGAACTCATGGCTGTCAGGTTTGAGCATGTAACTACCATCCCAAGCACCGTAGTTAATAGACAGTTCCTATTTTACCCACCTTCCCTACCTCCCTCCTTGCAAGGCGCTAGAGAGTGTAGAATTAGGGTGGCCAGGTCGGACTGACCCAGCGGCAGGGGAGTGGGAGGGACTTTCTGGGAGGGGGGAGTGTGCGACCTGCACGCAACGCAATGATGTCATGCAGAAGTGACATCATCACATTGGTGTTTGGGGGGATTCCTCCCACCAGCCAGCTGGCCAACGGTGGAAAAGAGGCACGGAAATTGGGGGATCCCCGGCCCCAAACTGGGGAATAAAGCATACAGAGTATGGTACACAGTATATGGATATTACACTGCACAAGGATTATTACTGTGATAAGTGCGCTAAACTAAATAATACAGTACTGCTAAAATCAGGAAATATAGGCTGTTTAAATAAGTTAAAGTGATATGCTTTTTTTACAAGGCTGGAATACAAAAATACAGGCAGTTTCAAATGAACAGAAGTGGTTTTTAACGAAGCAAATGATGTTAACGACGTGCTCCGGAATGTCCTGTGTCGTTTCGACGTTCCTCCTTCTGAACAAGATTCTATAGATAATTTCCAGTGTTTTATCTCATCTATAAGAGTAGAAATGAAGGCTGATGCTCACATATGTTTTCTTCATAGATCAATAACAAAGCACAATTGCTAGTAGAAAGTTCATTTTGGGCGAGTTACAGTCAAATGAGCATTTCACAGGTGATAATAGGGACATGCTTGTAACACTCCTGTTTACATACCTAGGAACACTTTCTGAGTTCCACACCTTCCTCTGTTGAGCCTTGCAGTAGGGTTTTCGTGGCTACATGCTGCATTCTTGTCCCCAGCCACAGGCCTATTCTGCATGGATTTAAACGCCAGGAGACTGGTGATTCTTTTGGATGAAGTTGGGCTAGAAAAATGTAATTGTCCTGCCATATGTTATTAAGACTTCAAGAACAGCACATTTTGCGTATGAAATGGCAGGCTGTGAATTGCATGATGCCTTAATGTTCATGCACATGCATTGACTGATTTGGATCAAGGCGATGGTGTGAATAGAAGGGGAGCAGCCCTGGTAAACCACCGCTTACCCCACCAAGGAAATATTAGCGGTATCCATAGCAAGACCTGATCACGCCCTTTCTGTTTACCCTATGAAGGGCATTTCATTTTGATAAATAACACAGTCAGGAAGACTTCACACACCCCACTCACAGTCCCCCTTTGCCTTTATCTCAATCTGAATTGAGGGCCTGCTGCACTGCTTTTTAAAAGAAAAGGGGGAGGGGGGAGAAAAACCGCTTGGGAGCTCAGTCAAGGACCCCCTCCAGTTTCAAGTACGCTTTGGACTTAAGGCCACACAATAGGTCCGTGGCAGCGGTCGATCCCAGTCTCCGTGGGCCATTCCAGCTCCCGTATATTTGTCTTCCAGAGCTAACCAGGGACTTGCCTTTGTTAACACAGGAAAAGAGGGGACAAAGTGCAGACTGGCTTCCAGGTCACCTGAGTTCTTCTCTGCCAGTGTATAAATATTATCGAAGGTAATAGCGCCTGTGGCAGAAGCTGCAGCTCCCCCTGGCACACAATACCCGCAGGTGCCCACTGGTTTATAACTTTACAGAATCTATCACGTGACCTGAAGGGAAGGTCCTGGCAAGGTGCCTGGCCCTATCATGCAAGATCCTTCATCCACGTGTGTGCCCGCCCCACCCCACCCCCCGGCTCCCTCTCACAGTCTGATACACCCAACCTGTCTCATAGGCCCGGCACAAACCAGAAAAGGTTTCAGGAAGCCAGAGAAGGAAAAAAAGACTGAAGGACGGAACTCTGACTTGCCTGAGGGGGAAGTAAAATCAGTAAGTGGGCACGCTTTTTTACAACAGTGCCCTCACGTGGCAGAGGCACCAGGCAGTGGGAGGGCGGCACTGTTTCCTTTGGAGAGGGGAGGGCAGAATATTCTCATCATTCCAATTGTCTCTTTTGTAGGCCCTCTAGGAGATGGATCACAAATCTGAGGAGGAGGTTTTCAACTACATCAAACGTGCAAAACCAGTGGAGGTTGAGGGAGTACCTTTGCACAGTGACACAGTAGAGAACTGGGATCTCCTGTGGGCTTTTGCAGCCCGGCCAGATGATCTTCTGATCAGCACTTATCCCAAAGCAGGTAGCAGAGCTAGAAGTAGGGGTGCAATCTCAGGGCTGAGAACCACCTGGAGATTTTGGGGGTGGAGCCTGAGGTGAGCAGGGCTTGGGGAGGGGAGGGACCTCAGCAGGGTACAATGCCAGGGAGTCCACCCGCCAAAGCAGCCGTTTTCTCCAGGTGAATTGATCTTGGTCATCTGGAGATCAATTGTGGCAACCCTATCTAGATGCAGAACCAGAGGTCCTGGGAAACCAGAAGGTGGTGGACTATGGAGCTGGGGAGACTGAAGGCCAGTGGTATAATGACCGCTTCCTGTTACCTTCCCTCCAACAGGGACCACCTGGATCCAGGAAATTGTGGACATGCTCCAGCAGGGAGGGGACCCACAGAAATGTGCGCGAGCCCCAACGCACAAGCGTATGCCCTACATAGATTTGTTTCTTCCCAAACCCATGACTTCAGGTGAGTACAAGGTGCTGTTTCAGGGAACAGGTGTTGTCCAGTTGTGGGGAAGGGGTTCTCAGCATGAGGCTGTGTGTCTTGCCTCCTGGTGTTTCAGGCCTGGAAGACGCAGAGGGGATGCCTTCTCCACGCACACTCAAAACTCACCTCCCCGTTCAGCTCTTGCCGCCTTCCTTCTGGGAACAGAACTGCAAGGTCAGGACAACTGGGGTGAGGGGGCTGGGGGTGGGGCAGGATTGAATATGATTCATCTCTGGGACCTCTTCTGATCTCCTGGGCTCAAGGGCGGAACACCTGCAGTCCTAATGAAAGCTGAGACTGCGTCTGAGCGTATGTAGAGTGTGGAACCTAATTTGGCCCAGGTCTCAACCTTGGAGGCCAGCAGTGAAGGGTGAGGGGACAGATGTTACGACTTCTGGGTTCCCTCTTGTTTCTGCTGTATTTCCACAGGTCATCTATTTTTTTTGAATGCCAAGGACAATGCAGTGTCCTATTTCCACTTCCACCGCATGAGCCAGATAATGCCAGACCCAGGAAACTGGGACCAGTATCTAGAAGATTTCCTTGCTGGGAAGGGTGAGTGGAGAGGCTAGAGGTGGAAAATGGGAAGGGCTTGGTCTGAGTGGGAGGGCCAGTCGTCACCCCCATTTAGTCTTTAAATATAGTAAGGATATAAATTTTGTCACAGGAACTAGCTGGTGTTGCTTAGCAGAACATGCTGGGGAAATGTGAAATTATATCAGTCTGCATAGCTGTTCACCATCCCCCCCCCCACACACACACACAACCCTACAAAAAGTTACAGCTACCAAGTGGCGATGAATGAAGTGGGCAGATGAGAATCCTACAACTCACTCTCCACCTTGTGTCTGCAGTTTTGTTTGGGTCTTGGTCTGACCATGTCCGTGGTTGGTGGGAAGCCAAGGACCGGCATCGAATTCTGTACCTCTTTTATGAAGATATAAAGGAGGTGAGAAACTCCTTCTCTCTGCGTCTCTCTCATACACGCAAACACACAACTCTTTGAGGTAGTTATTATACCTTCAGAGCTCTCCTCAGGCCCGTAGCTACCGTGGTCCGTGGTTGGTGGGAAGCCAAGGACCAGCATCCAATTCTGTACCTCTTTTATGAAGATATAAAGGAGGTGAGAAAGTCTTTCTCCTTCTCTGTGTGTCTCTTTCTCACACACACGCACACACAATTTTTTAAGTAGTAATTTTACCTGCAAAGGAGCTCTGATGCTAGAAATACTCTCAGCAATTACTTTGCTATGTTCTCACAGTAGTGCCCCCGCTGAGCAAGAAACAACCGCTTAACAGCAGCCTAAACTCCCCTCAGCGGTCGTGTCTCTCCCTAGGACCCAGCCCGGGAAATCCGGAAAGTAGCCCAGTTCCTTGGTATAGAGCTCACAGAACCAGTTCTGAAGCGCATCGTACAGCACACCACGTTTGAGAGCATGAAAGCCAACCCAATGGCTAATTACAGCACTATGCCTTCTACCTTTATGGACCAAGCTGTGTCGTCTTTCATGAGAAAAGGTGGGTGCCGCAGCGGCTGTCTTCTGGTCTCAGTTCTGTGAGGGGCGGAAAGTCCTTTGTGGGAATCGTTAGATTTTGGTGCAGGAGTGTCAGGTGGCATAAAGGGTTGGCAGGAGTCCGGAAGTAACTAAAGCAAGCTGTAGGCTTTAGAAATGTAAACAGGAATTTTGGACTCAGAATGTTGTGAAAGGAGGTGGGGTTGTTGCCTGACTCCTCAGCAGAGCGGCAGGGAGGTTCAGGCCTGTGAGAATGCCCTGATGATACGTGATCTACCAGGAAGGTCTGGTGCATCCTTCTGAGTGGCTACAGATATGTCAAGACAACCTCGGAAGTACCTTTCCCTTATTCTCCATACCTCTTTCTTTTAAAGAAGGGCTGAAGGTGTGAGGAAGAAGGGGTGCTAAATAACTGCTGTTAAGGGTGGGTGTCAGGCTGTGACACAAAGATCGTCCAAAGCCCCTGTATGTATGCGGATCTGTGAGTGTTTGTCCATGAGATAGATTTCCCTCTTGTTTGTGCTCCCACCCAGCGAGATGATGGCCCAGGAGTCCCTTCCCTGGAAATCTGTGGTCGGACAATTTAACGTGTTCTTTTTTAGATTAAAAAGCTGCCACCAGGAAGGAAGAGGATTGGGCTTCAGTGCTGTGGGGAAGTGGTTTGCTTCGCTAGACGACTTTCCATTTTCCTGCCTATTGCCCCTTTCCCATAATTTGGTTGAGGTGGGGACTTCTATAGTGCAAGGATTACATTTCCCTCCCTTTGTGCCATCCGAATCCACCAGCACCACCCCCAATAGCTGGTTTTTAATATTTATGCATTTATGCATGGATGCATTTAAGTTGCTGTAGTTTGAAGAAATGGGCTAGTTCAGAGGTTCCCAACATGGTGCCCTCGGGCGCCTTGATGCCTGCCAAAACCTTTTCTGGCAACTAGGGTTGCCAACCTCCAGGTGGTACAAAGCAAAACAAAACAAGAGATGCACAGTACAAGTCACCAAGAAAGCAGAAACTATGTATGAAAACAATCACTAATCAGTATGCGCCTTGATGCCTGCCAAAACCTTTTCTGGCAACTAGGGTTGCCAACCTCCAGGTGGTACAAAGCAAAACAGAACAAAAGAGATGCACAGTACAAGTCACCCAGAAAGCAGGAACTGTGAAATAAAACAATCACTAATCAGTACATTCAGAATATTCACAAATCACACCAAGTGATTATGTTTTTTACAAATCTATAAAAACTTTATCCTCTGTGAATGGCAAGGACTGATTAACAATTTGTGACTCTTAGGCGCATCCTGAGGGAACACCACACTACACACACACACACTGTAATGATTCCTTGTTTTATGTGGCTGACCATTTTGTGGTCATGCTCAACACCCTGGGTCAGAATTCCAAAGATGACCACAAGCTCAAAAAGGTAGGGGACCCCTGGGTTATTGTATAGAGCTCGATCAAGATGGGTAGCCGTGTTAGACTGTCTGTTGCAGTAGAAAAGA